TCGCAGACTGGGGGTATCAAGGGCCGCTGTGCTGGTATGGCTTCTCAGATGGTGAGAGTTTTCAGACAGATTGCCAAGACCAGGAAGTTTATTGCGATAGTATTGTTCGTGGATTTGGTGGCCGCCTTCTATTCGCTGTTGCGTCAGGCTGGGATCCCGCTCAAGGGAACTGAGAACTACATCAATCAAGTCCTAGACAATGCACCCGCGCTGGCACACCCGCTGCTGGAAGTTGTTCTAGCGGCGCCAGTGTTGGTCGACTCCAGGGTTGACCAGCATCTGGTGGCGCAAGTGATTGAGGCCCATCGGCTCACCCACTTCAGGGTGCCAGGGGATACGCAGTGGATTGTCTCACAAAGGAGCTCTCGGGCGGGCAACCCCCTAGCCGATTTCTTCTTCAATGTCGTGTATGCCCGACCACTGAGAGGAATCAAATTTGATATGCAGCAGGCTGGTATTGCTATGGACCTCAAGGATTGTATTGATGCATCCGAGCAGGTGTTTTCTCAAGGCCTCACAGTGGAGAATGACACGTTCACGGACTCTACCTTCGTCGATGATTCTGGTTTTTGCTCCCCATGTTATGACCCCACAGCAGTTCGTGATCAAGTATCGCTGCTCGGCAGGATTGTGAGGAAGCACATGCTGGGGTCAGGTTTTCAACTTCACTTCGGGAAGGGCAAGACGGCTGCAGTTATTTCCTACAACGGCGAGGGCTCCCTGAACGCGAAGAGGACCATGGCCAGGTTTCCAGCCATTGCGTTAGATAGCACATCGAACGATCGTATTGTCCTTGAGCAGGCGTACAAGCATGTAGGTGGCATCTACACCGGCGACGGGAGCACAGCACAGGAGGTAGCTAGGAGGAAAAACAAGCACTCTACGGCACTGCGCCCCCTGAGGGCATCGGTTATCAAGTACGAGATTGCCACAAAGGACAAGCTCAAGTACATCGACGCACTGTGCAGCACGCATTTGTTTTTTTCAGGCGGAGACTTGGGACAAGATTTCGGCATCGTGCACGACCAAGCTGAACCATGCGTTGCTATCAGGGTACCGAGTGGGAACCAGGAAATTGCACAGCCTGCTCACTGTCGGGCGCACCACAGATTCGGAAGTAATAGTTATCGCCAACAGGATGGATTTTTGTGATGTTTTACGCTTCCGACGGCTGCGCTACGTGGCACGGCTGGTGCACGCAGGATCTCCCACATTGCGGCTGATCTTGGATGCAACGCTGGGTACCTCATCGTCATGGGCATCACTTGTAGTGGAGGATTTTCTGTGGCTCAAAAAGTTTTGTCACGATGCCCCAGACGACTGCCCCAGGAATATTCCAGGCATTGCTTCATGGATGAGATATGTTGCGAAAGATCTCAGAGGATTTCATAGACACTTGCGCAGTGCCTGGACGAGCTTTTCAGCGCAGCGAATGGATCAGCACAGGGACACCTTCATCTTCCGTAAGATTCTGTTGGCATATCCTGGGCTGATCTCAAGTGCTGATGACGGACATTCAGGAACAGGCTACTTCTGCTATGAGTGCGATCAGGTTTTCCAAACTGTTGCTGGGTACCGAGGTCACTGGACTCGTGTGCACCAGCCAAACGACATGGCCCAGTACTATGCTGACGGTGTGGATTGCTTATGCTGTGGCGCCAGCTTTTCGGATCGATCAGGTTTGCTAAGGCATCTCAGGCGTCCGACTGGAGCATGTCTTGGCCACATTATGGCATCCACCGATCCTCTGGACCACGAGGCATTTGCAGCATGGCAGCGTCTGGACCAGCAGGCGGCGGTGGACAAACGCACGCGTGGGCTTAGGGCGACTGCGCCAACACGACCAGCACTACCTGGCAAGAGGCAAGCTGTTGTGGTTGACGAGCGCCCGATGCCCCCGTGTGTGGAGTGGGTGCCAGCCCCATCGCTGCCACCAGTACCTGCGGAGCGCGCCCATCGGCAAGCCTATTTGTTGCACATTGGCTGGGGACCCAGAGCTGACGACGATTTCAGTAGTATTATGGGTTGTGCCACTGGTTTTTTCAATTGTACTGTGTTATATATTGATTGCAGTGAACCATCAATGTCATTGAAGCTGGAGGATTCGACTTTTTAGACAACATTACTGCAAGGATTCAGTCAGGTGCCATTCTGGGAGTTCTGGTGACACCGCCGACATCATCTTGGACAGCTACGTTGAATAGTTCTGGCTCGCAGAGCTCCCCTGTGAGGCCTCGAGACCAACTGTGGGGAGCGGACCTCCTGAACAGGTTTTGGGTGAAGCAGTTGCGCAAGGAAAATGGCGCCATCAGAGCTGGCTTATTACTCTTGGCTGCTGCAGCGGCGGCAGGTGTAGCTGGAGTATTGGTGCACCAGGCCTGCGCAGCACATCGTGTGGCTTCGATCTGGCAGATCGAGTCGGTGAAGGCGATCGCTGCTCTCCCAGAGGCCTCTGCAGTGTCCTTCGATGCGGCCGACTTCGGGGGCGCGCTGTCTTCCT